GCCCTGCCTGTACTTGGGGACGTTTCCTTCGTCGCCTGGACTGACGCAAAACAACCGACACGACACACCAAATGTCAATGGCACTCGACGTGGTCCTTTCTCTCTCTTAACTCAATGGGTCTGTCTGTCTGTCTGACGCCACAGAGTGCACATGGACGGATGAATGACAGCAGCCAAACAAAGCGGACGGCGGAAAACGGCTACCTCTCTCTGTGTGTGGCGTGCGTGGATGCGCGTGTGTGTGCTCCTCCACCCCATTCCATCCCATCCCAAGAAATGAGTAATAACGACTGACTGACTTCATCTGTGCCGTCCCTCCCGCCTCCTTCCCCCCCGCATCACAGCTGGGCGGTGTGCATGTGTCATGCTGTCCTGACAGGCATGGGTATGGCGGGCTGTTGCCGCAGCTCACGTTCCCTCTCGTCAAAGTCATCCTCGTCGCTGTCGTAGTCTTCGCCTAGCTCAATCGGCACATCACCTGTGTGGATGAACGAGACGGACCGACACATATGAGAAAGAAGTCTCTGTGTGTGTGTGTGTGTGTGTGTGTACCAGGGTAGTCTCCGCCCCTGTAGTTGCTCATCTGTATCTCGCGTAACCTCTGCTCCTCCTCATCGTCCTCCTCTATATCACCCACACACATACGCACACATACACACAGAGCCGGAGGTGCACACCTCGTGTTGTCTTTTTTTCCCTTTTCGTGTGGCAGCAAATGGGTGTGTGTCTCTGTATACCGGCCATGGTCTCGTAGGTGACGGGTTTGGTCCTTACGGACTGACAAATGATCACGATCATCGCTGAAAGACGGAGGGAGGGAGGGAGGGAAGGGCCAGAGGCACACGGAAAGAGCATGCGGGGAATTGTTTTCATGTTTGTCATATGGGTACGTACCGATCAGTACGGCAGAGACCCCGACAATCGCTGCCGTCCAAATGCCTGCAGGACCCACACACCCACACCACAACACACCACACCACAACACACCACAACAGAGAGGGTATCAGAAAGCAGCTGCCAACGCGTGAAGCCATAACCCCCCACTGACCGATCTTAGAAGAGAGTGCGGCCTCGTCCATGCTGGCGTCTCCTCCCTCGCCCGTGAGTGTCTGTCCGCCCTCACTGATGGTGCCATTACGTCCCTGCCCCCTGTCGCTCGAGCCCTGTTGTGCATGGGGATAGGACGGGGGGGCGGGGGGATGGGGCAGCGCATGACCATCCAGAGTATTCGACTTGCCACCACCCCCTCCACTGGATGGCTGTGCTGGTGCTGGTGCTGGTGGGTGTGGGATGGGGGCGGATGAGTCGTCGAGTGGTGGTGGGACGGTCGTGTCAGAGGTGGATGTGTGTGGACGAGACACAGGGGGCAGGGCAGTGGGGGTGCGTGGGGGGCTAGATGGGCTAGACGACGAGGATGTGTTGGCGGGGGGTGGGCTAGGGGTGCTCGTGGTGGTGCTCGTGGTGGTGGTGGTGGTAAGCAGTGGTGCGTCCGTGTCTGTCGATACCGGCGGACTTGTCGAGTAGAACTCCTTCGGATACAGCGGCAGGGCCTTGTGCTCAGGAGCTGACAACCACACACACAGAAGGCCATGTTTTCCCGTCCATCCCTCCCTCGTGACCGACAGTACGACGGTGGCTTACGTGGCGGCCTCAGTTTGTCCAGGTATCTTGGGCATGCTGCATCGGCGAAACCTGCATCCACCCAACACAACACCACAGCACACCGCAGCACACCACATCAACCTGTCCGTCTGTCTGTCTGTCTGTCTGATGGTTTTCGGCTTGGCACTCTCTTGTCTGTCGTGCCGACTGACCGACTCTATCCTCGGTGCGGTCAAATATGACGTCCCTCTGCACCATGAACGACATGCCCAGCACCGTGTCATGCTTCCGGTTGTCGTCGATGGCCAAACACCACTTCCTGATGAACAAACCAACCAACCACAGACACACAGCACACGGTCAATGGGGAAGGCGGGCAACTGAATGCCTCTTCTCCCTGCGATCGTCTCTCTCTCTCGTACTTGGACGGTGGCTTTGGGAAGAGGTACGAGTGCGCTCTCCAATGGATGGTGCCGCCACCCCTGCAATCAACCAACCAACCACCGACTCCATCCACAGGCGCCCCGTCCCTCCCTCCCTCTGCCCCTCTGTGGTCTCTCTCATCTATCTCGCCCCACCCACTTGAAGGTGATTCTGAAGACGGGGAAGGTGTCGAGGTCCTTCTCATCCTCAATCTCCCAGCAGTCGTCCGAGTGGTGGGTCCGCACGCCCTTGCAATGCTCGGGGTCCTTACAGAAGCTCTCGAACGTCTCGGAGATGCCCTTCCATATCTCGGGAGGCACATACGTGAATGTCGTGCCTGACCGACAGACAACCCACGAACGGCACGACAGACTGACAATGCGTGTCGTTCTCCAGTGTGTGCATATACATGCATGGGTGTACCAGAGTCGACAATGACCGATCCCCAGGCAGAGCGGCCCCCCAGGCTCTTGCCCTCGATGTCGGCATCCTGCAAATGGATTGCAAGAATGATGCGGCCCAGAGGACACATATATCAGCATGATGGATCTGATCGCTAAGGCGGCTCACTCACTTCGATTCCAATGGAGTAGTAGAGATGGTTCTCCATGGGCGTCCACACGACCGTCGGCTTCTCCTCCGCATTGTCATAGTTGCGGTGGAGGCTCTGGTTGTACCCACCCACAGTCAGTATGCCACCCTGATCCGCCAAACATATGGCGAACACCTTCGTGTCGACCGCACCTTTCTGAGGGAGGGAAGGAAAAGAGAGCAAAGTAGGCAGACAGACAGACAGGCAGCAGACGGGAGTGAGTGACGGAAGGGCCAAGAGTGGCGTGATATGATCGGCCGGACGGCTTCATTTGATGGGATTGAGCTGACCTGGTCGCTGAAGAGAGCATCGATGATGGTCTCGTGGTCCCTTGACCGCCTTGGTGCCACACCCACAATGCCGCTGGCCTTCTGGGTGGTGAACAGCTTGGTCTCGGCATCATGGCAACCTGACAGACACAAGCACCCACCCCACCCACACCAGCCACATACATACACACATACATTTAATCACACCGCCATTCCATTCTCTGCCATTCATTCGTTGTGCCCGCCTACCAGCATAAGCCTTGACTGCAGGATTCTTCCGTTCAACATCGCCTATGCGGATGTAGTCCTGGAACCAGTAGCCCGCAATGCTGGAGCCCTCCGTGTAGCCCTGGTAGTAGCTGCACCGCTCATTGCGGCAGGGACACCCACCCTCACATTGCTGCCAGCAACCACACACACACACAAGCACAGACAAACACAGACACCAGAAAACAGACAGAGGTCAGCGATACAGCCCACACGTGTGGCCGTCGGCGGTATGTGCGATGTGATTTGCACCAACCACAGGAACTGTACATACCTGCCACTCAGCGGTGTCGGAAGCGCTGAAGTCGAATGGCGCATCGATGTGGTTGCCGCAGTTTTTGCAGTTTTTGCAGGGGAAGGCCAAGATGGTGCTGCCCGTATCCAGAATGACGCTCTGCCGCTGCGGGACGGGGGATCCCACGAGGATGTCGATGAAGTAGTAGGCGTAGCCGTGGATGGAGCCGTAGATGCGCGCCTCCTCCAGCTTCTTGCCCGGCTGACACACCACCACCGCACATGGCACCAACACCAACAGCAGCACCAGCCACAGACAAGGCCTGACCGGCCGATGACGGCCTCTCCGCCTTGGCAACATCAGACGATCTTCTCCTTTCCGCAGCGAAGAAGACAACACAGCGCTTCTCCACACACAGATAAGCCTCTTGTCGCCTCCGCCTCGCGCTCTCCTATCTCCTCGGCGAGCTTGTAGCTCGCAGCGAGCGCTGACTCTCTCTTTTGAGTTGTCTCTGGTTTTCATCAGCGTGCTTTGGTTGTCGACCCAGGAGAGCAGCGTTCATCTCAATCGTGACTTTCATCGCCTAAGGCGGCGTTCGCCTCAGTCTGCACAATGAAGCTCTTGGTCCTCTCCCTCCTCTCCCTCTCCTCCTTCCTCGACAGCAGCAGCGCTTTCGTCGTGCGGTCCCCCTCCCCCCTCTCATCGCAGCTTCCCTCCCCTTCCCGCCCTAGATCACGGTGGTGCCCAACGCAGATGCAGGTGGGCGACGGTGCAAACCACTGCACGTGGGCCATGCAGACCAGACAAGTAGCTATCTGGGGAATGTGTTGTTGGTGTGCACTGCGTGTCGTGTCAGGTGTCTGTTGGGGTGTGCATTTATGGCCCCAACTGCTGCAAGAAGACAGAGAAGCAGAATGGCGGGAGAGATTATAACCTGGTGACGACACAGGCCGTGGCTGACGTGCTCGGCGGCATCAAGGTGACGGCGACGGGCTGCCAGGCCAACTGCAAGCGGGGGCCAAACCTGAAGATTACTCAGAGAGGCACGGAGAACAAGCAGGAGTACACGATGGACGCCGAGCAGATCATCGATGCGCTCGAGGCGGCCACCAACAAGATCGGCAAGTTCCCCCAGAACATGCGTCTGGCTCTCAAGCAGAAGGAGCAGGGCAACCGTGCTCTCATCAAGAAGGATGCCAAGGCCGCCATTCGGTATTACGAGGACGCCATGAAGAATCTTGGCAAGGGCGGCAAGACGCAGAAGGTGCTGGGGACCATCTATGCTAACAGGTGGGCTGGGCTGGGCTGGGCTGCACTGCAACGGAGGTGGAGGGACAGACAGACAGACACGTGCGGTGCGTGTGTGTGTGTGTGTGTGTGTCAGGGCTGCTGCCAAGTTGATTGCCGGTGACACGACCGGCGCGATGGATGACTGCGAAATGGCAGTGGGAAGAAACCCACAATCAAGGTCAGCAGCCGAGCCGCCTTGGTTCGGTTGACCCACACACACAGGCCTGATGCTGCTTGGCCTGCACTCATCGTCCGTCCGTCCTTTGTCTGTCGTTCGTTGTGCACTGCCCACCACACAGGGTAGCGTGGGTGCGCAAGGGCGACGCTTTGAAGCTGTCCGGCAACCCCGATGCAGCCGAGGAGGCGTATGAGAAGGCAGCATCCCTCGACAAGTTCCGATCTGATGACGTCAGGTCGGGAGCTGAGAAGGTCGGCAAGGGAGGCCCCTTCGGCATGGGCCCGAAGTATCAGGTCTACGACTTGGTGTGAGTGACGTGACAGCACGGATTGGGCTGCTCGCGTAGCTGGCTTGGGGGGCGCGGGGGATGTGTGCTACACGTCGTGTGTTGTCGGGTGCGTGCATTTTTCTCCCATCGGCCTATATCATGTGTGTGGCCGGAGACTGTTTGATACGATAGATACGCGCTGGGGAGGACATGACGTCCATGAGTGAGTGCATCTGTGTGTGTGTGTACAGCTCCGTCGTATACATGTACTTGGCTACTGCTCATGTTCATGCCATAGATGGATGGATGTCACGGATGGATGGATGGATTGTTTTGCCTTTCCATTCACGGCAGCGGCGGTCCGGTTTTGTCGCTGTGTGGGCTGTGCGTCTGTCGTATGTGTGTGTGAGTGTGACTGTGTGTGCTGTGCCTGGGGTGTGCTGCATTGCAAAGCAAGTGGATGCGCCGCGCCCCAATGGTCCGTCAATCCTTGCGTGAGTGGGATGCGTTGCAGAGCCAGAATGGCTGAGCTGCGACCAGAAGCTTCGTGAGTGAGTGAGCGATTGAGGGACACGTGTGTGCGTGATGTGATGTGTGTTTCAAGGCGCCTGACGTGACTGACGGGTATCTCCCCTCCCCTCCCGTGAAATGATTGGGCTGTACAAGTCGGTTGGTTGAAGCCCTCCTGGGCTTGCGGGGCGGCGGCGATATCGACATGACGCTGAGCCGGCGGATCACACCGCCCACGCCGTTCGGCGGGCCCCGCACCCGATCGAGTCGCGCCAGGCCGCACTGCGCACACGCCGACACAGACAAACGGTCACACACAGGTGAGCTGTGCCATCAACGACGTGTGGTGTGTGTCCTGCTCACCCTGAGCTTCTTGAACAGGTCAGAGTTGCAGCGACACTTGGGAAACGTGTCCTCGTCATAGGGGTCCACCTGCACGCATGACGTGGAGAGTGAGTGCGTGTATGGTCTGATTGTGTTTTATCGCCGGACTTACGTCAGCACACTCCTCACACAACTGAATGCCGTTGCCTGCACACACAACACATAACACACATACATACAACAGAGTACACATCATCATGTGAGCAGCTGAGCTGACCCATGTTATAGTCGGCGAGGGCGTCACACTCTATGCAGCCGGCGCGGGCATACTGGTGCTTGGCGTCGCCCTGGTCGAATAGGCCAGGGTCAAAGCCAAACGTGACCCTGAACACACACACGGACACAGACGCAGGCACACAGATGCACCTGGTTGGAATCAGCCACTCATTGCAGATGTCGCCTACCGTGCCGCACAAAGTTTCTCCTTGTGGGGCTCGATTCGCTCGCGCCACACATGCCGGTCGCCCATCATAGATGCCGCCCTCCAGTCCTTCGACACCCCCTCCACCCTCCCCATCTCCCGCCCCTCCAAAAAAGTCATGACGTGTGTGATGACCTCACAACCAAGGCCGGCCGACGCAGCCGACCCTGCAGCCGACCCTGCAGCATGGCCACCCCCCTGCCTTGGAGCGTTGCCGACGCGCCTGCGGCGTTTCATGCCGGAGGGTGCTGCTTCCGCTCTCTCGCACGAACTGCGGCCAGCCAACGAGATGGATGCTCTCTGATATGAATGGGCAGCCTGCTGTTTTCTCCCGGGGGCGCGAGCTCAAAAAGATCGCCACCCCATCTCTTCGCACATCCTCGTTCGAGCACTGTCAGAGGTGACAGCAAAGGTGACGTGCATCAGATGGATCAGTTGATCTTCCATTTCAGCGACTGGAAAGGGTGATGCGTCCCGGCCCTGGCTCCCTGCTGTCCGCAGCCATCGCACGTGCCCACCGCCAGCATGCCTCTTCCCTCCTGCTCACACATCTGCAATCGGCCCCCCCTCTCGCCCACGTCTGTCGCTATCGCAGCCTGAGCACTTCTCGAGTGAGGCGTGCTGATGTGCCCCGCGTCACAACCGACACGTCCCTCGAGGCGCCCGACGCATCGCTGCTGGTACAAGACGAGATCGCCCCTAAGAAGCGGCTGGTGAGTCTCGAGGAGGGGATGTTCAAGTGGCGGTATGGCGAGGACAGCGAGTATGAGTATCCCTACCTGCGGCTGGGCCCGCACATGTCCAAGTACGAAGAGGAGCTCATGGACCAGCCGGCCAGTGGCGCGACGGCCGTCATGGCCGAGGTGGCGCCCTCGCCCTTCTTCTATGTCTTCATCCCGACCCTCAACTACTTCAGCACCCTGGAGGAGTTCAAGTCGGTCGCCACGGGGCTGGTGGAGAAGGGCCATGAGTGCGTGCTGGTGGACTTTCCGGGCTTCCATCTGGACCCTGACTTCAACACTGCCGTCGTAGAGGAGGATCTGTTGGCCACGCTGGGCGACGGCTATGTCGGCAACAAGGCCAAGATCAGACAGAGGATGCGCAAGAAGAGCAGCAGCAGCAGCCGGGTGGAGGAGGGGGCCAAGGCAGCGGCGACAGAGAAGAGGGAGAGGGGGGCGGGGGAGGCAGCCGAGGGTGGTGGTGGTGGTGGTGGTGGTGGTGGGTCCTCCTACACGAGCATGGATGACAGGGTGATACGGTCGTGCACGGAGGCCAACCACATCTACCTTCACTTCCTGCGGCAGTTCATTGAGCACATCTTCACCGACGGCATGTCCAGGCACCTCTACAGCAAAGTCGTCTTGGTCGGGGCTGGACTGTCGGCTGTCTATATCATGCGCTGCCTCGAGATGATCCTGCTCCCTCCCAGCGTCCCGGCTTTCACGCCTTTGATCGATCCCCCCCTACCCCCTCCCTCTGACGAGCTCAGGGAGATCATCCAGAGGAAGCTGCACCTGGTCACGCTCATCTGCCCCAGCTGGCTGCACCTGTGGGACTACCGGAAGGTGTACAGCGTGCCTCGAGGGCGGATAGGGTGGATCTGTGCGTCGATCAAGCGTGCGATAGGGTGGCGGGGGAAGCCCGTCAAGATGGAGCTGACCCTTGACAAGTACCGGCTGTATCGGTCGCTGCTGACGGGGGACGGCCATTACAAGATCCCGGGCGAGGAGCGATTCAGAAACAAGTTCTTCGGAACAGACAAATTCATTCTGAGGTAGCTTGGTCACCCAGCCACGTCCTAGAGTGTCAATGCGAATTAATTGACTATGTCCCTTTGGTGTGTCCTGTCCTGGGTGGTCCTCTTCGTGTGTCTTAAATGTGTGTGGATTGGCGTGGATTGGCGTGGAATGGTGGTCTGGTATGGTGTGTCCAGGGAGTACGGGAGTTTGGTGCTGCGCAACACCAACCCCGACACAATCGACGCCGAGATGGAGAAGGAGAGGGGCTTTAAAAACACCAACCACGTCCAGAGCATGATGGAGCTCAAAGAGTGAGGGAGGGAGGGAGGGAGGGAGGACGCACAGCACCGCACCGCACCAACCCACCAGTGTGCGTATGTATGGGATGTGTGTGGTCTCAGGGCGATGATGGAGGAAAAGAAGACGCCCAAATACCTCTACGCGGCGGTGAGCCAGCCACGAGACAATACACACACGCACACACACATAGACAGACAGACAAACAGGCTGCCTTGTTTGTGTCTCGCTCAGTTGTCGGGTGGCTTGCTGGACGCGTGTAGGAGCTTGCAAGAGTTCACCAACCTATTCAGGCGGCTCTGCCTACCCGCAGGTGGGCAGGTGGGTGAATGGGGGTCGGACACCAAAACAGACCTCAGATGGCCACGTTGGGTACCCACTGTTTGTTTGCTCGTTTGCCAGACTTGACGGCGATGTCTGACGAGACGACCCCCTCTCACGGCAGCTTGAAGCCGCCCCTTGGCGTCAACACGTTCGTCATCTTCGGCCAGTCGCCTGCGTGGGGATGGGGCACATCGGTCAGCCTGCGTGGCATGCAGATGGCTGTGGGGTGGGGGGCTCCTGCATGCGTGTTGGTCTTGTTTGTGAGCCATGTATGTATGTCCTCAGCAATTTTGGTTGTCCTTCACCCCTCTGAAGGACATGTTGGTTGAGGCCCAGAGGCAGCGTGCCAAGGTGACGGGCGAGAGGCCCGATGACGTAATGCTGCCGCTGCAACTGTCGTTCAACAGGGTGCGTGGCGTGGCCTCAACACACGGAGGATGCATGCCATGCCATGCATCTATGCCATCGAATGGTGGATGGATGGATGTGCCGAGTGTGTGTGTGTGTGTGTGTGTGCATTGTGTGTGTCAGGGCCGTGTGTTGCTGCAGGAGGAGTTCAGCATGGACATCATTGACACCCTTGACAGGGCCGCCCAGGGCAAACTCATCAAGAAAGACACCGAGATCTGAGTGAGTGAGTTAGAGGCAGGCAGGGCAAGGCAGCAGATACATGAATGAGACGTGACGTGAGTGCATGTCAGTCAATGTACGGCTGGGTGAATGGCTGGGTGGCTGAGTGGCTGGCTGGGTGGATTTACGTCAGGACTGGCCTGCGGTGCGGTGAGTCCAGTCCCCTATGAGTAAGGCTTCACTCACATACAGATGGTGTGCATGACTGGACGGATGGATGGATGGACACATACGTGTTCAACGTACGTGTCCGCGTGTGTGCATGGAAGTCATTCATCTTTCTCCTCACTCAGTCATGGGGCTTGATGTCAATATCAATCCGCCACAGCGCTGCGCGGCGAGCGTGTCTCTATCCACGTCATTCGGCATATAAAACGTAGGCAGCAATCACGACGGATGCTTGGCATGGCTCTGTTACGTTACGTCCATCCCAACACCCAGCCAGACAGCCCATGATCGTGGCGATGATTTCTGGCTGGCTGAGCACTGCCAATTGCACTGCCGCACCATGGCCATCCGCATATCATTGACCGCCGATACTGCGGCGCGCCATGTTGACGCTTTGGCGGCCTCCGTTGGGAGCTGGAAACTTCTATCACCGTTCTATCACCGGGAAAAGCTCCAAAGTTGCAGTAGGGTTTGCGGGGTTTGTCTCCCGTCTCAAATCGAAATTCTCGACTGGGCTTCCCGCAGTGGCCAGTTCACCACGGGCCCTTCAAGTGGCACTGCGGAATTTGTCTTCTATCTACCATGGCCAACCAGCGCCTCTCTATCTGGGGCAGGTGCGCGTGCACAATCCGCTGGTCTACGCTACGTGCCCCTTGACTGCACAGCACAGCACAGCACAGAGGCCACACCACGGACGCCGAGTATCCCAAGCATCCCATCCCATCCACCAGCACACTACAAAAAACAGAGTCGACATGTACGTGTACACGCAACCAGACCCGCCTGCCGCCCGCCCCACATGCCATGCCATGCATGATGGATGTCGTACGGATACAATCACTCCTCCTCTTTGTCGCCCTCATGGTCGGCCTTTTTGTTGCGGCGGGCTCGCTTGAGCTTGGGCTGCTCTGCATCATCCTTCTCCGCATCGTCGTCCTCGCGGCCACGCACGCCCTTCTTCTTGTCTGCCGCCTTGGCCTTGGCCTTGTCAGCACCTACACACACACACACACACACACACATGAAGGTGTGTGGTTCGGACGTCCGTACACACAGATCCCTTTGCTTGCCCACCTTTCTTCTTGTCTGCTTTGGGTGCGACGGGTTTGGGCTCCTCCTCCCCGCCTATGTCGTCCATGTCCATGGCGTCCGCCTCGTCCTCGTGCTCCTCCTTGACCTTATTGGCCTTGGGTGTCTTCTTGCGGCGCTTCAGGTGGTCAGAGTTGGACGGCGCGGCCGCCGATGCTCCTGCTGCTGCTGCTGCTGTGGTGGCGGCCTTGCCCCTGCGCTTCACACCTGACCGCACGCGCACACAGAGACGATAGATACCCACCCACCAGTGCGTTCATGCGTCAGGCCATTCATGTGTGCATTACGCACCTTTGTCCTTCGGCGGTTCCTCGTCTTGCTCTTGTTCCTGTTCGTCCTCACGCTCCTCCATGTCAGCAGCAGGCCGCTTCTTGCCCCCCTTGCCGCCCTTGCCACCCTTGCCACCCTTGGCTTTGGCGCTGGTGGCCTTGGGGGCGGGCTGTTTGACCTTCCTGTCACGCTCCTCGACGATGAGATCGCCGCCCTCCCAGTCGTCGTCTCCCTCCATCTCGCCCTCGTCGCGACGCTTCTTGACCCCTTTGCGGGCAGCCTTCTCGGATTTGATGCGGATCGACTCGGGCAGCGGGCCGCCCCTGTCGCCCTCCTCCTCCTCGATGAGCTCCGCCTCCTCATCCTCGATGGGCTTGTCCTTGCCACGCCGACCTCCCTTGCCCCTGTTCTTCTTGGGCGGCCGGGGCGGGGGCTCGTCATCATGCTCATCCTCCTGGTGCTTGTCGTCTTCCTCCTGTTTCTCCTCCTCCTGCTGCTGTTGCTGCTGCCGCCGCCGCGGCCGCTGCTGGACCTTGGCGGCCGGCGTGTCCTTGTCTTTGTCCTTGTTACCGCCCCGCTGCTTCCGCTTCTTCTGCAGGGGTTTGTCTTCCTCCTCGTTGTCCCCCCCGCCGTCACCCCCGCCGTCACCGCCAGCCCCACCCGCACCGGCATCCTCACGCGCACCGACATGCTCCCCCTCGTTGTCCTGGGCCTTGTCCTCCTCGTGATGTCCGTCGACGACCATCTCCATGCCCCGGGTGTCGGGATGGGGCGGCTCGTCGAGGTCGTCGAACAGATCATCCTCGGCGGGCTGGCGCTTGAGCTTGGGAGGGCTGCGGTTGGCGGGCGTGTGCACCGGGGGGATGGTTTTGCGCTTCACACGGGCCGCCGTGGCGCGGTGTGGCTGAGCGGGGAGGGCGTGGTGGTGGTTCTGGCTCATCTCGCCCTGGTAGATGTCCAGCTCGGACAGCTCTCGCTTGAGCTGCTTGTGTGGGCCGTCGTCAGAGGGCTTCCGGGGGGCGTTCTTGAGGGCGAAGATGCTCGGGATTTGGAACGTCCTGACGCACACACACAGACACAGACACATAGCATAGAGGGATACAACGCAAAGGCCAGGTGAGTGGGCCTGGCGTGCAACCGTCTGTCTATCCACCTACCTGGGCTTGGTCTTGAAGAGTTGTTTTTGTCGTGCGTGTATCTGCGTGACGGTGGGGATGGTGCTCTCGACCACCCACTGCAGCACGTGGCACAGCGTGAGCGTCTTCTCGCGGTACGCCGCCTCTGCATCCTCACGACGCCTGCACAGCACACACATTCCCCCACGCACCGCACCCGTGCCATCTCTCTCTCTTTCTCTCTTGGTTCTCTTGTCTCCTTGCCACAGGTGGGGTGGATGACTGACCACTGCAGTTCGTCGATGAGGTCGTAGAGTGTGCATGCGTAGTCCTCTGATGCGGCATCGACCTCCTTCTTGAGGAGTGTGGCAGGGTTGGCGCTGGCCTTGTCGGCCGCCTTGACTGACGCGGCGATGTAGGGCTGCAGGGTGCTGTGGCAGATGTGCTCGACCGTGTTGCGCATCACCTTGAACAGGAACGACAGCGCCTTGGTCGCCTTCGGGTACCGCGGCGTCGACTCACTGTCGCACAAACCCCTCACCCTACACCAATGAACGAATGAACGATACATACGAGGCCCACCATGTATGTATGTACATGTGTTGGTGCCTGCCCTCCTCCGTCTGTGTGTGTGTGTGTGTGTGGCGACCGTGCTAGGTTTCTGATGACGAGTGCGATGAACTGGTCGTGCAGGTTGAGTGCCTTGTCGCGGTTGTCCATGTTCATCTTGGCCTGGGCGGTCGTCAGCTTCGGGTGGAACCCGCGCACACGCTCCGCCTCCTCCTGGCTGCCACTCGACGCAGCATCCACCTTCACACAGTACTTGAGAGGCAACCAAACCCGACTGACAACATATACCACGGACGGACACATCGACACACGTGCATACCGGATGCCCACGTCGAGTCGACCATGTGTGTGTGTGTGTGTCTGTGTGTGGGGCGGGACACGACCCACCTGAAGACTTGGTTCACGTAGTTCTTCATGAGCAGGTGTGCGTATGCGGCCATGGGGTCGGTTTGCCGGGCCAGTGCAGCAGAGGTGACTTGGTCGTCGCCTGTCTTGTCGCCGAGCCCGTAGAGTGGGAAGAGGTAGGCCACCTTGATGTTGGTGCGGCCGGTGCGCTGCACTAGGGGGTGCGGCCATGCCGTGTCGTGACCCACACGAGAGGGGCTCGTGTAGATGCGCAGATACTCCAGGAACTTGTAACGCACTCGCTGACACAGACAGACAGACAGACAGGCAGGCCAGGGTGGCACACACAGGGGGAGGGAGGGAGGCAGATGACTGACATATGGGTGAGTGTATGCTCGTGTGTGTGTGTGTGTGTGTGTGGCTCACCCATTCGTCGTGTGTGGCTACCTCGGCGAGCAGCGGGAGGGTCTGGTCGTCAGGCTCCAACCTGCATCGCATCGCATCAACCAAACCACCCACCAGCCGCACAGCACAGCACATGGATGGATGCACTGTAATGTAACGGCATTGGTTTGTCTGTGCTCACTGTGTGCACTTCCATATTTTCAGGAAGGCTCCTGCAGCGGTGAGCTGACAGATGCCCTTCTCGCTGTAGATGTCCTTGACCGCAGCGATCAGTGCCTTGTCCGTCTTGGGCGCACTCGTCAAGTCCACATACCCCACCTCGCCCTCACCATTAACCTCACCCTCCCCCTCCCCCTCTCCACCCATGTCCTCGTCATTGTCTCGTCCATCCCCCTTCTTGTTGTCCTTGTCTTTGTCCCCCTCTGCGGGCTCCTCTTGCACCTGCTCCAGCAGGTACCCGGGCGGCTCGCTGATGCACTGCTTGAGGGTGTTGAGGATGGCCTCGCGGTACACGGGGGACCGGGGGAGGCCCTCATGGCCATCAGGTGGTGCGTTGGCCTCGTCGTCCATGTCATCTGCGAGCTCGGGGCGTACGGGTTTGTTCCAGTCGGCGGCTCCCTCGGCCAACAGCTGGATGCCCGCAGCACGCAACTCCTGATAAACACGACACACATATAGATGCATACCATACACGTGTGGAAGGGGAATGGAATGACTATCCCTGTTTCTGCGTACCTTGACGAATTCGGGGTTGATGGTGTCGGGCAGCTGGTTGGCGTTGGGGTTGAGGAGGGTGTCGGTCACATAGTGGGCGGCCTGGTAGAAGTAACCGCGGCTCTCAGCCCAGGATTTAGACGACTCCATGAACAGCCAGGGAGACGACTGACACACACAACACACACACACACACACAGGTCTGTCTGCGTCGCATGGAGATGTGGTGTCATGTGTCTGTCGTGTTGTCCGTTCCTCGCCTCGATGAGTGTTTGCATGAATTGGAGCGCTGCGACGTGTCGAGTGGTGGGCGCGTCGCGTGTGAGTAGGGAGGGCACCTTGGACAGAGTGCTCAGCAGACCCTCGCACGTCGGACGACCCTTGCCCCCAAACACTGATATGATCTCAACTGACACACAGACACAAACAGATGGACGAGGGGATCCCGCAGTATCAGTATTTGTGAGTGTGATGTGTGTTGTGTACCTAGCTGTGCTGTCTGGTTGAGCAGGGCTGGATGCAAAACCAGCGGCAGCAGCCCCTCAGCCACGGCTTCCTTCGCTCCGGGCGAGATCTCTATCGACATGTCCTGCTTGCTCCTGCACCGCACCCAGTCAGCAGACACACGCACAACTGTCTGTCTGTCTGTCAACCAGCTCGCTGTGTCCCTCCCTCCCTGACCGTGTGAATCGTGCGGCGCTAGCGAGTATGTCGATGAGTTGCCGCACCACCTTGACCTCCTTGACCTCCAGCCCACCAATGCGCTTCTTCTTGGACCGGCCCTCATCCTCACCATCCTCCTCGTGCTCGTGATCGTGGTGGTGCTCGTCGTGGTCATCCGCCGGGTCGCCGCTGTGGGCCTGACGCGCGATGACAGCTAGGGGCTCCATCAAATCCTGCATTGATTGATGCACATAGACGACAGCACAGAGAGAGGCAATGGTCGTGTCGTTTGGCGAGAGTGCTCTGCCCATATCCCCCGGCCAGACGTGGGTCCAGTAGGTACCTCGATGCGTGGTATGAAAATGGCGGGGTAGAAATCGGCCAGGTCGACCAGAAAGGGCAGCGAGATCTACACACACACAAGACCGCACACACACACACACAAGACCGCACACATCACATGCACACGTGTGTGCTGTGCTGTTCCCATCCACCCACCCACCCTTGTGTGTCCGTCCGTCCCTTGTGTGGTGTGGTATGGTGCGGTGTTGAGTTGACCTGTTTGAAGAGTAGTTGATATTCGGACGGCTGGCGCTCCTCTAGGTCATGCAGCGACAGCACCTCACACACCATGTCCTCGGTGAAGAGCGTGTTGGCAGCACGACGCACCAACGTCAGCACTCCTGACGACCCACACACAAATATCACATCACATCCACCCCCATCCATCCATCCATCCATCCATGAGTCCTTCGTGGTGTGGCATACCTACCTTTGAGGTTCTCATGGCTGAGTTTCTTCTTGATTCGTTCCAGCTTGTTCTCGGTCTGCTCACGGGACAGCACCGGCCACTTCTTGACCACACTCAACACATCCTCGTACAACCTGTTCCAACACACAGACACAGACACGGAATAGACATACATGATTGTTGCAGGCTGTCTGTCTGTCTGGCTGTCTGTCTGTCTGTCTGTCTGTCTGTTCCTCTGTCTGTGTGTATGTGTGGCCGGTCGGTCGGTGGCTGACGTCTTTGAGTTGAGCAGGAGTTTCTCGAAGGTGAGGAGCTGGTCTCTCAGCTGTTCCATCTGCGTGACGTGAGCATTGGCGGCCGCCTTGCCCTTGCCGCCCCCCCTGCTGCTGCCCTGCCCCAGCCCCGCCAGCAGCGCCCACGGGTGCGCCTTGATGAGCGCCTCGCGCATGCCCTTCATCTGGTGGGTGATGACGTCGAACTCCTTCTTGCTGGCCTTCTTGCGCTCCAGCGGCTGGTTGAGGCCCTCGTCATCCTCACACGCCGCCTGCTGCTGCTGCTGTGGGTCGTCCTGTGTGTCGGGGGGCGGGGGGGCGGTGCTGCTCTTGGCCTTCTTGTCTTGAAGGGCCACCAGGTACTGATGCAGACGGTCGGCCGCGTCCACCTTGCCTGTAGATGTGTGTATTGATTGCAATGAATCCATGGGAGGGAGTACTTGAGTGGATGGGATGGGATGGGATGGGATGGGCTTATCGGTGTGTTTCGCATTACCTCTGAGGTATTCTTCGAATCCGATTTTTCCGTTTCGGATGTCCTCCTCGACGGCCCTGGTGTCCTCTGATGGGACGCCGTTGCGTGGGTGGGTCTGGCCGTACAGCCACAGCAAACTCCGCACATACTCACCTACACCCTCCTGCATTGCCACACCACACATGACACACACATCACACACACATGACACACACCAGCACATGACATGAGGCAGACGTTCCTGTCTCTGTGCGTGCCGGTCGGTCCTCATGTGCACCCACCCACGTACAGTAAGTACCTCATGGTTGAGCGGCAGCAGCATGTGCGTGGGCATCTTGTCTTCGATCATCTCGATCACCGATCCGCCCCCGGGGCGCTTGCTCAACGCTGACACAACAAACAAACAGGACAGAGACGGTGGGTGCATTCGACGGGTATTGTCCATCGTCGTGGCCGTGTGCACCACACAAACATACACACATGCGTACCATATGCGGTGAAGAGTTTCTGGGGAATCCACTGCGAGTTGCGGACACTCTGAGTCAGCTGGCCGTCACCGGCACGCAGCTGCGGCAACAAATGCTGACGGTGCATCTGCAGGCGCAACACACCCCACACCAGACACACACAAATACCCATACAATACACGTGTGCACCATATAGTGTGTGTGGCCGGCCCGGGCTCTCCTTTATCTATCTGTCTTAGGTACGGTGTGGTACCTGCATGAGCAGTTCGGCAGCGGTTCGTCTGACTTTGGGGTCGCTGTCCCTGACGCGGTTGGCGACGGCCTGCAGGACCGTGACGGGCAGGTGGTACAGCGACGTCGACTCCACCACACGCGACACCATCGATATCAAACTGACGCACAACTGCACACGGACAGGCACGCAGCAAACAACACACGAAGGCACGGGGAATACACACACGCACACGTGGCATCCTGCTAACTCACCGACGGGTCCTTGTCCGTCGACACTATCTTCGACAGACTCTCGCCGATCTGCACAAACATCACATAGACGTGTGCACAAACATGAAGTGCCCCACCTTGTATATGCGGCGGTGCGTACGTGACACGTACGTACCCTGATGGTTTGTTGTCTGGAGGATGTGTGTGTGGTGAGGAATTCCTGGCAGTGCTCCAGCACCGCCCTTTTGACCTTCGAGTCAGGGTCCTGCAGACGATCGACAAAGTCCTGATCGAAGCGATGGAGGGGACGGCGGACACACACACACACACGTCACGTCACTTCACTTCCTCCAAGTGGGTCGGTCAGGCCATGGCTGTCATGCGTCCATCCATCCATCGCTGCATACCTGGAGTATCTTTGGGAACTTGGTGAACAGCTGCGATCCCTCCTTGGACGCCAAACGACCTGTACGCAGCGCAGCAAACACATGGTACACACACATGCACTCACTCATTGATTGCAGTCAGAGTCATCGACGTATGTACCGATCAGCTCAGTGGTCTGCAGACGCTTCTCAACATCATCTACCTGGTACGGTACCATACCATCCCATCACACAGGAGACACACACGACACGGAGACAGCCAGCCGTGTGTCTGTCATCTGTGTGTGTGCCTGTGCCTGCTTCTGACCGTTTTCATTTCATTGGTGAGTTTGGCGATGACCCGCTCGACCAGTGTGGGGCTCGTGTCGAACAGCCGGCCGATCAAAGCACGCTGCTCTGACGCATCGCGCAGCCACTCGGGGGTCTTTTTCGAACCCTGACAGACACCCACACCGATGGACGGGTACAAAGCGGCAACCACAAATACAAAACACACAGCGAGAAAAGAATGCACCTCACCTGCCCTGCTTGCTTGATTTGATGTGTGTGTGTGTGTGTTGTGGTCTGACCGCAAGTGCGTTTTCGATGAGTCGATTGACGTGTTCCTCGATGAAGGGCTGTGCACTGCTGACCACACTGCGGGCCACCTCACTCATCTCCTCACAACCAGACTGACCACACACCACACCACACCACACCACACACACAGACACGCCATTCATGCATTCATTCACAAGAAACACCCCATGTGTGCATCTATTCATCTCGGTGTTGGTTCGCCCAGCCCCCCCCCCCCACCGACCTTCTCTGCCTCCATGAAGCGCTGCAGCAGCTCCTCCGTCATGACCTGCAATGCATTCATGCCATGCATGGCATGGGCCACCCAGCCAGCCAGCCAGCCACGGATCGGATCGGATCACGCATGTGCGCACGCCCATGATACAAACACCTGTCTGTCTGTCCATATGATAGAGCCACCCACCTTTCTGAGTTCATCGTGCTCAGCGTCGGCTGCGCGCGCTCTGCTGCGGTTGCGGTTGCTGCGGTTGCGGGACTCGTGCCGCCGGTCGGCCACCTCCTGACGCGACGACGCCATGTACAAATTGGTCAATATCTGACACACACAGCACAGGGGAGAGAGAAAGGCATCACTCGCGTGTTGGCCTGCGCTGCGGGGCGTATGAATGTCCGCGTAGTCCGTACCTTTCTGATGTATTCGGCCTCCTTTTTGTGTTTGGCTTTGCTGTTTTTGAGTATCTTGAAGCACACGGCGATGAACTGGCGCAGCTTCTCCAGCCGCCAGGGCTCGTCCTCCTTCTCCTTGAGCAGACACGCAGCGTTGCACCCACTCAAATTCTCCTACGAGGACACAGACACAGACACACACACACACACACACACACAGATGACGACACGACAACACAGACAAGACGTGCTGCCCCTCATGTCATGTGTGTGTGCTTACGAGCAGTTGGAACCTGGCCCTGTCCTCCAGGTCTTTGCCGCTGTTGCCGTACTCACTCAGCTGGTTCAGGAAGGCCATAAAGGCCTCCTTCAGATGACCACTCGAAAACGGCGAATCCTGTAACACATACAGGCAAGCAACCAAGCGGATGGGGGATTGCTCTGCTGTCGTCCCTCCGTCCGTCCATTCCCCCCTTGACATGACATACACGGTCATAGTTTGCGCAGTGTTGAAACCAGCATCCCAGGCAGCAGGCAACGTAGCACCGCACCTCGGGGCTCTCGTGACGTATCAGCCACTGCACACACACACACATACACACACAGCAGACGTGGACGCCTACCCAAGATCGTCGGTCGTTTCGTCCCGCTGACCGATTCATTCATCGCCCACCTGTTGGAAGAGGGTATCTTTGAGGTGCTCCGGGAAGGGATCTTCATCGGGTGTTGGTTTGGGCAGCCTGCCGCCCCCGTCAGCCTTGCCGCCGCCCCTGGGCAGCTCCTCACACAGCTCCTCCTCTTCATCGAGTTCCTTGGTCCATGACGCCCAAATGTTACGCAGGCGGCGCAGGAGGGTCTCCGTGTTGAGCTTGTCGCTGATGTAGCCCCGCTCGCGGTAGTTCTCCTTGTACCGCTGGCTGTCCAGATCTTCCTCAGGGTCGTCTGCATTCTCTTGCTCATTCTGGCGATCCGCCGGCGCCGCGAGCATCTCGTCGTCTTCCATCGTCACCTACCTATCCATCTGTCGGCTGCTCGTACACACAAAATACTTTTCCGTTTACGTGTTAGCTCGCGGGTTGCAAGATGCGCCTTGAAGTTGTGGGTGTGTGCAAGTGCTGGGCACTTGGCTCCTTGGTTCTATTCTTGCTTCTTCGGGCCATTGAACGTCTATCCTCATGTTATGCTGCTGAGCTGTTGCCTGGCTTCGCTGCGTCCAGCGGGCTGCTTGACAAGGTGAGAAGGCGAGGCGGGTGTCATGGCGCGGCTTTGAGGATGGCATGCTCCCCCTTCCCCATTCTGTTCGATTGCGATGGTGTTCTCGCCGACACCGAGAGAGATGCGCACCGACCTGCATTCAACCAAGCATGTGCGTAGGTACCTATATGTACATACATATGTGAGTGGCCTGCAAGGCACACGCAGCGCAGCGCACCAAGCATGCCTTCCACCCATCTGATTTTTTTACCTCTTGGATGCCCTGTGTGCTGTATGTACCTGCAGTTCGCGAGAAGGGGTTCGACGACGTGTGGGGTGTGGATCTGTACGGCCACCTGCTGGAGGTGGGAGGCGGCAAAGAGAGAATGACGGCCTACTGGAATGAAAAGGAGGGCGGCTGGCCCGACGGCTACCGCACGCCAGAGGAGCAGGCGGCCCTGGTCAAGGAGCTGCATTTGCGGAAGACGGCCATATTCAACGACCTCATCAACCAGGGACAAGTCCCACTGAGGCCGGGGGTACGCTACGCTACACTACACCACTCAGAGGGACCTGAGGGGAGGGCAGAGAGCGTATGTTATGTCCTGGTTTGGTTGCTGTATCTATGTGCCTGTGCAGGTCGCACGCATAGTGGATGAGGCCATCGCTGCAGGCTGTCCACTCGCCGTCTGTTCCACAAGCAGTGACAAGGCAGTCACGAACCTGGTCAACGTCCTGCTCGGTCCCCAGCGGGCCCCCCGCTTCCGCATCTTCGCCGGCGACATTGTGGCCAAGAAGAAGCCAAGCCCCGACATCTATCTTCTGGCGGCGCAACAGATGAACCTCGACCCATCCAAGTCAGTGCAGTGAGTGTGTGATCAGATCAACACAGCACACCCAATCAGCTCAGCACGTGTTGCTTGGCAAGCTGTCGATTGGATTGCATTCGTTGGTCTGTTCTGTGCATCCAGGTGTTTGGTGATAGAGGACAGCGGGATAGGTCTGAAGGCTGCCAAGGCGGCGGGGATGCGGTGTGTGGTGACCAAATCATCCTACACCCAAAATGAAGACTTCTCCGGGGCCGACATGGTCATTGCCGAGCTGGGGGACCCCCCACACCAGTGTGTATCACTGGACGAGCTGGCGAGAGTGCTGTCAGTCGGTGTCTGACTGACTGATCCAGTGATCGATTAGATCATGTTTACCTGCCGAGGGGTGCGGTGCGTCTTGATGAGAGAGAGAGAGAGAGGTGCATATGTGTGTGTGTATCGACAGACAGACAGACAGACAGAGATTACGTCCGTCGTAAACAAAAGGCTCACACCATGTTGGTTCATTTCACTCGTTCATTCCGCACCAGCCCATGATCATACAATTTACACCATTTGTCGTTCACCTGACAACTGCTGCCCTGCCCATTCTCTCCTCGTTGACGCCATTGAGTACAGTGTCAATGGGCGCCACCATGGCGTTGTCATCCAGACTGGCCGCCTCCCTGAACCCACCTCTCTCATAGTACTGCCTTAGCCTTCCTGACCCGTCATCGTCACAGATCAGCACCACGTAGTTGTAGCCCTGCCTTGCCAGGTCCCTCGCCGCCTCCTGCAGCAGCCGCCACCCAAGCCCCTGCCCGCGGTGCCCCTCGTCGATCTTCATCCACATAAACGGAGCCATCCTCACTTGTGGTGGCTGCCTGGGGCCGTCGCTACACGATCCGTCAATGTCGCTGATGAGTCGGTCGAGGGCTGGTGATGACCGCCCCTCTCTCTGCCAGCCGGACGAGCCGACAGATTTGCCCTTGTAGATGAGGCGGCACTCGTATGTGGTCTTGACGCGGCCCTCGAGCAGCATCTTCTTCAGGAATCGCGGCTTGAGGAAGTTGTCGGGCCACTTATAAGTGGGCCGGGTCTCAAATGAGTATGCCGCCTCGTCGATGGGCATCTTGATGACGTGTTCGCTCGTGAGGCCATCGAACAGTGATGACGCCCTTGACTTGACCATCGCCCACGGGAGCGACTGGATGATCTTGCTTTGGTCAACCTCTCGTCCAGTGAGCCTCTCAGCCAGCAAAACAGCATAGGTCAGGCAGTTGGCCTGATAGAGGCTGAAGGGCGCCGCCTCGTCTTGGCCCCAGATGGTGGCATCTAGGTCCCCTGATGCCGTCACATCCAGCACATTCCCCTCTGCCAGCAGGACGGCATCTCGTGGCATGCGCCTCAGCGTCACACGCCGTACCCGTCCCTGCACTGTCTGGCCTGTCAGCAGACGTGCCACAGTGGTCAGCTGCGTGGCATTCTCGGGCAAGAAGTCGTAATGGCGGATGAGTGGCCGGCCTGTTGACCCCTCCGTCTTCACTATGATGCCCTGATGCACCCGAAGCCACCATGGGCCACCTGTCACTCACACAAGCACAATCATCCACAGCGAGTGCAGATCTGTGGCATGCACTCTTGTTGCCGTTTCTCATCTCACCTGCCAGAGGGTATGCCTTGAGCCATATTGACGTCTGAGCGCCACCGCGGACGAACGCTTCCACGCATCGAGGAGGAGCCGGCAGCCGCATCAATGACCAAAGCAGGACTTGAAGACAGATCCAGCTCAGGCATAGCTTGTGCTGCTCTCTCATCATCAGGAGTCACCGAAACGACCATCCCCTCCTTCTATCTGCGAGCTAAGCCTGGAGATGTGGATCGCGGAGCTGCCAAACTGAGGGCGTTGGACAGGAGGGCGACGGGTTAGTGAGGGCGGACGGGGTTTGACAGAGCAAAACGACAGCGGCAGCGAGGAGGACTCGGGACTTTCCCAGCCGCCTGTTGCTGAGTCACGAAACGCGCCATGGCCATGTCAGTGTGTCCGCAGTTCCTGGGAGGTGAGCACACACACACACACACAGCGCGGTCGCAACGCGCTGCCGCAGCAAGGCCTGGATCTGTAGAGAGGCGGAGGAGATATGTGGCTTTGGCTGAGCTTGGCTGGGTGGTGCACGAGTGACAAGATCTGTGCATCTTGGCCTGTGAATCGGTCATCCGGTATGTGTTCTGTGTCTGTTGTGCTGTGTGTTGTGTGTTAGCCCCCATTGTTGTGAAGCTCACGACGGGTGACAAGTACATGGGTGAGCTCTTCTGCTACGACATCAGTGCCGAGTGCGTCATACTGAGTGAGTGGAGTGAGTGAACCACTGGACAGCCAGCCACACACACCGACACAGCCCATCTGTGCCCCCGGGGATCTCACCCACCCCTCATCGGTGTGGTATATCCTTGTTTGTGTGACTGCGGCTTGCCCAGGGGAGGAGGGGGCCGATGGCGCAACGAATTACCGCGTCATCAATTTCAACGTCATTGGAGATGTCTCAGCTGCTGGCGCGCCCAAGAAGGTAGGCAACCAAGCGACAGGGGGACGGAGACGGGGGGAAGAGATGGTTTTCGTCGTGTGGCTGTTTGTTATCTATCTGCAGGAGATTGATCCGCACCTGCCGGCCATTCCCGATGAGTGGCTGGAGCATCGCCGGCGCGAGGCCAAGGAGAAGGCCGCCAAGGAAAGGCGCACATGGGGCGTGGGGGTCAGCAAGGACGCACAGGACCTCTTCGACTTCCTCCACAAGACGTGAGTGAGCACTCATTCGGAAGCTATATAGCTGCCTGCCTGCCTGCCTGACCAAAACGACACTCCTCACCTTGATTGCCCGCTCATCCTGCTCTCGCTCCTGTGTGTGACGCGATTGGTTTGCGGCTTTTGTCGCTCTGTCTGTTAGTGCTCCGGAGCATGAGCTTCGTTGGGACAAGCAGGACATCATCTGCTTCGGTGTGAGGGTCCGGCCGCCATACCTCCCCGACAAGTGCTCTGGCGGTGACCCCAAGGCGCAAGAACGAATCAAGAAAATCGTAAGCGGAGCAAACAACAAACATGAGTGAATGTCCGAGTGTCTGTCTCCCTGTGTTGCTCGACCGACCAGCTGGCGAACTTCCACGCCAAGAGGCAGAAGCGCGCCCGCGAGCAGGCCGAAAAGGACCGCGAGCCGGCCGCCGTTTCTGCCAACCAATCCCAGTCCCATGTGCACACCCCCTCGACGCAGTCCTCGAGCCCCGTGCACCCGTCGCCCTTATCCTACCACCCCAGCCCCAACAGCAAGGCCGCCCACCTGCCCAATGGCGTCAGTGTGCCCTCCAAGGGCTCCCCGGCCGACAAGGCTCGTGTGTCGCCCCAGGTGACGCCCAAGCAAAACGAGGCCAGCGAGGCCAACGACATGGTCATGGCGGGATGATGGGATGGACAAGGGGCGAGGGGCGAGGAGGGAGGGGCGTGGCATCAGTTGTGTCTTACGTGTGTTGGTGTGTGTATGGATGGTACGTACGGATCGGATCTTTCTTCTCTTTGGGTGGCGAATGGAATCATGGGCAGGGCAGCCAGTGATTCTGTCTGACTGACTTGTTGTCGGCCCGGCCGATCGCTTTTGTGCGGTCGGTGCTGTGTGCACCGCACCGCCTGCTGCAGGCTTGGCTGAATGAAGGCTTGCAGCACGTCGGTCCCTGCAAAGAGCGCACACGACCCGACCAAAGCCACCAGCCGCCCGCGTCACTGAGAGACAGACAGACAGACAGGTGGCGTCGTCCGACTTGTTTCCTGTACGTGTCTGCCTGCCTGCAAACCTCCCTGCCTGAGACAGAACAGGATGGATGGATGGATGGAGAGAGGGCTCGCTTGCTCTCTCACGGTCCACACACACACGCACCGCACCTATCTATCTGTTGCGTGTGGGCGCACCGCACCTGTCTGTCCAATGTGATATGGCATAGAGGGGAATACATGAGAACATCCTGCCTGGATGGATGGCTGCATGGGGGGGTGGGGGAAGCCAGGTGAGGTGATCGGCCTGCACCCCTGTCACATCCCTTGCAGCAGAGTCTTTATCTTGCTGTGTCTGAAAGTGGGCCGGTGACTGAGGGAGTCAGTGAGCGTCGTTTCGCTTTCAATGCAATGGCGCCATGTACACCGCAATGCAGTGAGTTGCTGGCCAACAGATGCATCAGGAGAGAGGACGCTACGCAGCTGGCTGGGCAGGCAGGCCCCGCACACACGCAACTGTGCGTGAGTGTCTCTCTCTCTGTCTCTCTGTGTGTGTGGTGTGAGAAAGCGAGGCGATCAGATCGGGCGTGCGTGCGTGCATGAGTGTATGCAGGCACACACTGTCCATGGCTATCAGCGCTGTATAGTCCACGTTCGATGGTGAGTGAGATGGATGGATGGATGACACAATTCAACTGCGATGGATGCCATGCATGGACTCCGGGAAATCCCACTCTCGCAACGCGCCATGCGTTGCCATGCATATCGATGATAGATAGCTTTGGACAGACAGACAGACAGATGACCGTGCCGTGCCGCCTCTCTGCATCAATCAATCAATCATCCCTCCCCTCCCCTCCCCGCCTTGTCCGTCCGCATCCATGCCATGCACAAACACGCAGGTCATGTGTCCTTCCCTCCCTCCCGACCCGACACACATACACACACAAAAACTGCCTGCATACACACAACACACGGTGCGGTGGTGTCCCTTCCTTGCCTGCACCGCACCACATTCTGTTCTGAATGAAAAACTCATGCACACATACATACATACAGCCATTCATTCTGAATGAATGGATGGATGGCTGGATGGCTATAGGGTCATGTTATGTTGGTCCGCGCAGTTTAGAATCGAAGGAGATGGTTTTGCCTCTAATCATGGGGAAGTCCACCTGCCGCGCCAAGTCACGCAAGAACTCGGGGATGTCAAGGTCCTCTGCCACAGCCTGTCATGTCAGGACACACATTATGTGCACAGACAGACAGACAGACAGATGGACGGATTGGATTGACGGGATGGACCTCACACACACATTAACGTGTGGATGGGATGGGATGGGTGGTCGTGTCGTGTCGGTGGTCAGCTGACTGACCTCGACTTGCATTTTGACGTTTTTCCTCCTGGCTTTGAGTGCGGCCATTGTCCTCTTGAGTATCCTTTTCTCTTGGAAGCGCATCCTGACGGCCATCCGCTGGCTCTTGCTCATCATCGAAAAGAGACCTCGATCCGATATCAACGCCTCGTCCTCAGCATCAGTCGTCGGATACCTTCACACACACACACACACCACAGGTGACGGGGTGGTGCGTGTGTGAGTGTGGTCTTGTTGTTCACCTCTGCAGTATCTCGGCACACTGTTCGATGACGGTGTCGAGCACCCTGTTCTCGAGAGCCTCGCTCAACGGCCTGAAGACAGCGACGTCATATATCGAATGGACATCATGGACAGACAATCTCTCTCCGCCCTTATTTCTCCTAGCTAACCTGGTGAAGTCGAATCTTGCGAGTGGTCTGTCGCCCAGTGTGGCCTTGTCAATGACCATCAGACGCACAAACTCAAACATCTCAGACGGAAACCTGCACACCACACAACACACAAACGGATATGCATTGCATTGCATCCATCAATCAGACGAAGACCCACCCCTCCCCTCTGTCTGTGTTGAACGCATTGCATACACACACGCGCAGCGTATCTGACTCACTCACTCCCTCACTTGTCATCTCCGACAGGGAAGAATATCCTGGAGGGCAGCCCCGCCTTGTCGACGAATGCCATCTTGTCGTCATAGAGCTCGTCGTTGGGGTCCAGCTGGAAGTCGAGGGACACCGTGTTGTGAGGGTTGCGGTCGAGTGCGAAGCCGTACAGCAGCAGCAGGTCGGCGTTGCTCTTCTGACCGTAACTCACGTACACCTAAACCACAAGCCGGTGGGGGACACACACGAGATCCGATCCGGACGGTACGGCGGGTAG